GAACTAGAGGGAAATAAGAAGTTGAGAAGAATGCCCCCAAATCCCCCAAATCCGACCCTAGCTGCACCCTAACTAGGGCTGCATAAGTAATTGAAATAAATCAATATGGCTTATATGGCTTAGTGCAATAATCAAATCGAAAGACTGTGCTGTACTTCGATAGTTTACATGAGCTGCCTGAGTGAAGCGTGACAGTTTTACACTTCAACAGCTTATGACCCAGAATCTTCAGAGTTTCGGAGCGACTCCACACAAACTTTGCTGTTTGAGTTTGGGTTTATCAACAAAAGAGAAACTTTTAAGGGCTTTCTGTGGTTTTCAATCAAAATAAAAGTTAGCTAGTTTTAAGACATGCATTAATATTAGTATTGTAGTTTTGCAGTTGTAATGTAAAATAAAATATTATTATTATTATTGTATTATTTTTCTTGAATACTAATTTTTAAAAAATAACTCATTTTTTTCTTACATACTTTACAGTGGAATGTTCCAATATTATTATTTCTTTTGTTGTTATTTAATAAAATTAAATAATTTTGATATGTTTATTTTGTAATAATAATAATAATTTCTCTACATTGTCTATTATTATTATATATTATAATAATTTATTATTATTATTATTATTATTTTTAGCCAGATTAATATAGTTTTAAGACATGCATAAATATTAGTATTGTAGTTTTGCAGTTGTAATGTAAAATAAAATTATTATTATTATTGTACTTGAATACTCATTTTTAAAAATTAAAATTTTTTCTTACATACTTTACAGTGGAATGTTCCAATATTATTATTTCTTATTTTGTTGTTATTGAATAAAATGTAAATAATTTTGATATGTTTATTTTGTAATAATAATAATAATTATTATTATTATTATTATTTAGCCAGATTAATATATAATCACAAATATTTGACCAAATTGTGTAACCCTACACACAAAAGATCTAATCTGGATTTTCAAATCGCATTTTATGAATAAAAAAAAAATAAAAAAATCTCAATTAGATATTTTTTTTTCTCCCTAAATTGTGCGACCCTAACTATAAACCTAAACCTAAAATCTGATTGGTGTTCCAAAATGTGCAATGCTGTTCTGGGATCTACAAGTGTGTTAGGCAGCTTGTTCTGTTTGGGTTAATCATGGGTCAGGTGTGTTTCATATGTCCACACAGATTTGGCCACTCCATCACGCTCCAGCTGGGATGAGGATGACAGTGGATATTCCAGCTCACGCCACTCTCACTGGGAAAGCCCGTCTCCTGCCCCGTCACACCGGGAGTATGACCGCTCCGAGCGCAGCCATCGCTCAGTCCGTGACAGTGAGAGGAGAGACAGGTGTGAATCACTTCATCAGAGCCTCAGTAATTAACGTTGGATTGAAGGTTATTTGTGCTGACGTGGTTTGTGTTGTCACTTTTGTTGTTCAGGTCAAGTAAACCTCAATATCCAGCAGAAACTCCTCTACCAACCCCATCATATAAGTACAACGAGTGGGCCAATGACAGGAAGCACCTTGGCTCCACCCCACGCCTGTCCCGAGGAAAAGGTAAAGACACCACTTACAAGTTCCTTTGGTGGTAAATGTTGTAATTGTTTATGTGCAATTTTATTTTTTTATTTTATTTTTTTGTGTGTGTACTTCTTAACTCAATTTTTTACATTTTTTATATATTTTTAAACCTTGTTTATTATGACTGTTTTTGTTTGGTATGTCATATA